GCTTTCCCTAACTTTATCTTAAATAATGTGGGTTTAACCAGAAGGGCGAAGCGTTTTATGCTCGGCGTTGGTCAGACAGCGAAGTTCACACACAGCCAGTTTTTACCTTAAAGATGACGTCTGTCACCTTGTCCAGTATTTCAGGGTTCTGTTAGAAAATCCATCTTAGGATTGTCAACCAGGGGACCCTCAGGCATGTAGGTCTACTCACTTTGTTCACGTCAAGCCGTAGAAAAAAGGCGAAGCCAAAACTGCAACCCGACCTCAAAATGAAACTTCGGTCTGGAAAGTTTTCTGAAGTGGATCGACCAGGCGTTGGTCTAACCCAGGCTGTGAGCTTTTCCCGTTGGTGAGAAGAGCAAAACCTGACACAGCTCAGCTCCTGACTCTCAGAGAGTCTAGCTGTCAGTGTGGCTGATGGCGGTCCGTCACTTTCTGCCGTCCGGGCGGAAACTGTTAGTTACTAAGAGCTTAAAGAATCTAAGTTCTGCCCTCCGGAGGTAAGATTAGTAAAGTGGTATCAAGGGAAAAAGATTCAGAGACTTACCGTCGCCTCCTGAAACTAAAACAAAGATTATTGCTTCTGTGTGGTTCAGAACAAAAACATTTCATGACCTATACTAATTATCATCTGATAACTTATTTAAAAACATGACTGAAAGAATGAATTACTTCAAGTTCAAAACATTTACAAATATGATTCAGACAAGTAAAACATTGATGTTTCATCAACTTTAAACCATAAAGATTATTTTAGTTAAATAAGATTTTTGCACAGAAAATCCATACATATGTAGGGGTCACCTCGAGTGAAGAATCAAGATTTACTGCCTCGAAGCAGGCCTCGGACAGGCCTGACGAGAGGACAGGAACTCTGTCACAAACTGAACTCTATTTAGGCCATGACAGGTCATTCTAACCGTGGAAGAGAACCCCTCAGTTCTCTTAATCARDTMAYGGACAGAACAATCTCTTCTGTTCGTGATTCATTTGTTGTTTAACTAAGAATGTTTATGCATTTGTTAAATCATGATAATGGCTGTCACAAGAAAAGTGGAACCACTTCTTTTCTTTTATCGTGCCTAAAAGATTAATAATGGTATAAAAAAATTTAGAATCTCATTACAACGTTTTCATTGTGTTTTATGTAAATCACTGTTTTTATTTTACTGTGAACACAGTAATATAATTGTGGATTTTTCTTGAGAAAATCTTTCATTTATCTGGACTGAAAGAATGGTTCAGAACTGATTATAAGACAGAAATGTTAATTAATCATCATAAATGTTTTGCAGTGATTTCTCTTAGAGTCTATCAGAAGAAAGTAGAAAAAAGGTTATCATCCTGTTGTGAACAGCCATAGAATTTTAACCTTGGTCTGGCGCCAGCTGGCAAAYCTTTATCTTTCTTTCTCTGACTCATCTCCAAGCCTGAGGGCGGAACCAAAGTTTGTCCGTTCCTTTTACTAACCCGGACGGCTTTGAGGAACGGACACACTCTTCTTCCTGACTCCAACTAGGAAGAAAGCTGAGTTTCTCTCTCAGGAGAGAATCAGTTTGGCTTTTGAGTCTTAACCCATGAGCTAACTAGGG